GAGGAGGAGGAGGAGGAGGAGGAGGAGCTGGAGCTGCAGGAGGAATGCCTGGAGGAGTGTAATGCAGAGGAGGAGTACGAGGAGGAGGAATTTGCTGGAGAGGAGGAGGAGAGCGAGGAGGAAGAGGAGGAGGCAGGGACAGAGGATGAAGATGTACAGGAGGAGGAGGAAGAGAAAGAGGGAGGCTACGAGGAGGAGAGAAAAGAGGAGGAAAAGGAGAGGGAGGTGGAGGAACAAGGGCTGGAGGAAGAGCTGAGAGACATATAAACTCACTTGCCCCTGGAAATGCCTTTGTCAATCTTAGTAGGGGCTGAAGAAGAAGAAGGAAAGGATTTTATGAACTATTCTTATTTAAGCCTAGCCCAGATGATTCCAGATGTGCCACAAGAAACTCTATTCATGATCCCGGACATTGACCGTTAGATATCTGAAGGGAATTGGTTTGAGATTAAAATGGATTAGAGGCTTATTAAAATCTACCTTAAAAGTGAGTTCCACTAATAAACATGTCCATGTACATACCTTCTTTGGCTATTATAAAATATTTAAACAGTGGTGTGTAATGTATGAGTGTGGGTGGGGGCAGAGGAGCTCTCAAATATTATTTTACTGGAAAAGATCAAATATTTTATTACCACATCTTGGAAATGTTCGTTTGCTGTTTCCCCTTCTAGACAACTTGTCTACTTAATAGGCCTGGGATTAACCGGTATTTTGACTGTGGCATATCTAAGAAGCAGGTGATACCTTGACTGTCTAACTATGCTCTCAAAACTGAAGCCATTTTAAAACAGCTTTCAACACTAGATTTCTTTGTGAATTTCAGAATTCGTGGTGAAGGTCGTATTTTGGTAACCTCATTTGCAGTTTTGTGTGGCGTCGCTCATAGTATCATATATTCCTTGTTGCACGGTGCTTGGATCTTCCTCAGAGGAACGTGAAGTTGCTCCTGTGGAATTGGTTCTCTGCCATGGCCTCAGCAATCCCTATGCCATGCATGGGCGAGATTCCCCATGGTCACAGGTCAACTTGCACATCTAGTTAAAATCCAAGGTAACTCCGAACGGAGGAACAGAGCTTAGGTTTTGAACCCTTGTTCCAAGATATGTTTCTTGAGTAATAAAGTCAGAGGAACCATAGAAATAGTTTTTATACAGTGGATTTTTTTAAAAAAAAAAAAAAAAAAAAAGAACTTTGGGGTGGTGGAATACCTTTTTATTTTTTCCCTGAATTTTCTTTTTCATAAAGAAAGTAAAAAATGTATAAAGCTAAGCCTATGTGAGCTAGTTTCTGAAGATATCTAAACAATTAGCTATGAAGAATAAATCATTCAAAACAGATTCTCTTCAAACATTTTTTAAGAAAAAAAAAACTTTCTTCCTGGGCATTGAATAAAAGATTCTATCCATAGCATAATTCCAGAATGTTCCTAGATGAAGAATTTGATCCTGCCTTTTCCAAGACTACATTTCTTTTTTTTTTCTTTTTTCTTTTTTTTTTTTTACAAACTGTGCTGCTTAGTTAATACCACAATTAAATGGTTATTGAAGAGAAGACTATATGGTGATATCAGGATGTGAATTTTCACACACATATGTCTGTGTATGCAGCTTTCAAGGTAATAAGTTTAAGATGTTAAAAATAAAGTACCCTGTTTCTCATTTGTTATTTAAATATCAGATAATTATGCAGCAGTACTTCCATATCCAATGGGATGAACAGAGAAAAACCTACAATATCATAAGAATTTAAAAATTACACCTAACATTCCAAATTATAGCAGTTGGTAACCAAATGTTTAATTATACCCTGAAATCATTACTTTCTATAAGATGTAATTTCTTAATGATCTATCAAAGTACTTTAAATTGACTCTTCAAGTGACATTCTATTAATTTTTTAATATATATATGTAGAGGGAAACGAGAATCATAATCTTGTTACTAGTCAATAAATCCTTAAAAGTTCTATCCCATAAATACTTAAAATAAGACACCGCAAACAATCGCTCCAAGTTAACCCTTTCAATTGGAATTGAATTTTTCACCATCACATGTGGACAATTCTCATTGCAATATTCATTAATTCGCAATTCTCAGAGCAATGTCCACTATTCACTGTAAGGATGCAAACATGAGCAATGCTGCAGGGTTTTACATTTTGGTCCATGGCCTATTATTCCACATTACTCAATTATTAGGTCTCAAGCAATGTGTACAATGATAAAGTTTCAAAAATGAATGAATGAACATATTCCTACCCCTGTGTTCCATAAGTTTTTCAATAAAAAGACAGACATTAAAGGAAGTGTTAACTTGCTTACTGCAGTTGAAGGAAATGATCCAATATGAAATGATAAATCACAAAACCTAGAATCAATGGTGAGTCTGAGGATGTGTACCATGTGGGAAGAAGCAGTATTGAATCTGCAGGTCAACAGCTGGGAGGAGCATGCTGACTTTGAGGAACTGAAGACAAAAGATCCAGGGTTGCTGGAAGGAGCAACCACTGAGAAGGTATGCAGAAGCCATATTACCTGCTAATGCCTGTGCTATCCATATCTTCTAAAATAGGAACCAGTAAAAATTAATGAAAGCAGAAACTAATAAATAATTGATGATTGTTTACCTAGGATTTTTTTTATTAGCTAGATATTGCGATGGTAACTTTATTGATCCTATAGGGTAGTATGAAATAATTAAGCAGCATAAGCAGCACCGAGAGTTAGAAGAAATGGCATCCCAGTACTCCATCTCTATACTTCTCAGATGCCTCCCCTCTCACTGTCCCGTAATGAAGTAGCACCAGAGTTAAGTGCACAGCATGATTTGAGTGCCCTGGTTGTCAGCTTCCATTGAAAACCTTTGCACAGCTCCTTTAATTACTTTTTTCTCATTGCTGAAATAAAATATCCAACACCCAAAGTTAGAGGGGGAAGGATTTATTTAGCTTGCAATTCATAGAAGTTTCAGTCTATAAACAGCAGCTCCAAGGCAGGGTGGCAGAGTGGCAACAGTTCATGGTGGCTCTAATGCAGCAAAGCAACAAGAGAATTTAACAGGGAGTTTCTGCCCCTGTTATCCCATCCAGACTACTGGGATTAGGGCAGTGCCAAACCAATCACATGTAGTGGTTTAGTAATCACACACCCTTAATCCCAGTATCACATGCTCTAGATTCACTCACCTCTGAAAAAGACTTAATGAGGCTTTTCGGAGACATCTGGACACAAACCATAACAGAATGTATCTACTCTTTAATTTTAGACATAATGATATACTTGAAGAAAAAACACAAGTTTACAGAGAAAGCTCATCATTATTGTTAAATTCAGTGTTGATGGAGTAGACACTGATAAAGAGGTGTCATTTAGGTACTTGCTTCAAGAATTGAGCTATTGCCAATTATTGGGAGAAAAAAAGCAAACACTTTTAGAAGTCCTAGGCCCCTTTTCTGCCTACCATGAGGATTTTTAAAGGGTAGAAATTCTGATATTTTTCTCTCCTGACTGACAGCATTTCTTAATTTATCTTCATTATTCTGTCTCCACAGTAACAGATTTTTTTTTCTGGGAAAATATTACCCCTTGGAGCATAGTAAATACACCTGACATTTTCAGATCAATTTTGAACTCTCACTATGATATAAAATTTTATAGCATCCATATTTTAAAAAGACAGCATTTCAAAAATATTTAGTTCTATTAAAATGAACACAAAGGATGAAATAACCAATCTATTGTGAGTAACACCAATTATACACATCTGGAAAATAAATAATACAAATATCACCTCACAGAAAATCATGGGGCAAGGGAGTAGATAAGAAAAAAAAAGCTTCTTTAAATGTATTTTGGATTTTAGAGCACAAGAAAATAATAGATACAGCTATGTTCTTGCATTGGATGGGTCCATATTAATAAAAGAAATTGAAACTTGAATCACTTTGGCTTGGGTTTTCTGTATATTTAAAACAAAATCAATATATGGCTGTTTCTTAGCTCTTTTAGTTCTAGCTTTTTTTTTTTTTTTCAGTACCAGGGATCGAACGCAGGACCTTGTGTTTGCAAGGCAAGTGCGGCACCACTGAGCTAACCAGCCCAGCATTTTTCTATATGTAGTTTTAGATAATTAATGGAACACATTTAAATATCAAGGCCAGCTTGATGGAAAGGAAAAAAAGAATTTAGAGATGGGTAGACAGGCTCTGATAAAGGCTGTCCTTCTGCCCAAGTTACCTGTGGCATTAGGCAGTTAGTTACCTTGGGGCTCTGCTTCCTCAAAGTAATGATAATACTCCATTATTATTTAGGCCTATTGTGAGGACCAAATTCCCGACGTCTTGATGTCTTAGTTACTTCCTCATTGTTAGGCAAAATACTCAACACCCACAAGTGTAGCTCGGTTTGTAGAAATTTCAGTCCATGGTTTCAATCCAAGGCAAGAGCGATGGCAGAAGGGCACGGAAGAGGAGAAACAGCTCAGGGCAGCCAGCCCACCTTTCCTCCTTCCCTTTATATTCCACCCAGGCCACAGGCCCACTGGTTGGCACCACCCATACCTGGATAGGTCTTTTGTCTTCAGTAAATGCATTCAGTCACATCTAGAACTATGCCAGTCCAATCAGTGGACTAATCCAGTTATTACACACCCATAAACCTGTATCACACACCGATGATCCAGCCACCTACCCAAAACCTTACCTATGAGTACATTTGGGGGGACATCAAGCTAAAAGACATAACATTCGATATCTAAGAAGAATTGTACTATGGAGTGTGTTATGGTTTAGATCTAAATTTGCCCAAAAGTGTAATGTATGCAGAAGTGGAGCTTTTGCAAAGTGATTAGATCACAGGGCACTGTAGTCATTGGTGGCTTCGTTCAGTAGCTCAGTGTACTGTGAGAAGCTGACTTCAGTAGCTGAGTATGCTGTTAGAAGTTACATCCTGGTTGGAGGTGAGTCAGGCATAGTATGGGCTAGAAAGATGTATTCTTGTCCCCAGCTCCTTCTCTTGTCTCTCTGCTTCCTGTCATGGCTTTAGCACTTTTTTATATACCATGGAGCTAACCAACCATGGACTGATACCATGAGCCAAAATAAACCTCTCTGTGTCCAAGTTGCAGGTGTTGGGTATTTGGCCCCAGTAGTAGGAAAGAAACTGAGACAGAGTATAACAAATATTAATCATTATACACTGAACTTCATCTTCTAATTATAGCCCATTTAAATTCTGAACATTAGATCATCAGTCTAAGCTCTTTAACCAGGCCCAGAAAAATCTCATCTCACTGCAATTCTATTGGATTGAAATAACCAGCTATTCTATTTTAGTAGTTATCCTAAACTAAGCATAACTAATTTGTCTTTGATATTTAGTTTTGACTTCTTGTCTCAGTCATCTAGTGCTTTGATGTTTAAAATTTGATTCATGAATCAGTAGAATTTGTAGCACCTGAGAGAGTGTTAGAACTTCCAAACCTTCACTCTCTAGACCTACTCCATCAGAGTATGAATTTTAGCTAGATCTCTAAATCACAA